TCCAAAACGGGCGTCCCAACCATACAACATACATTGCTTCGGTGTTGCTTCGTTTTGAAGAAAGCCCACCGGACCAGTATTACGACTCAACTCAAAACTACAGTAAACAAACAACCCTGCATTTGTGTGCAGCCTGCTCCCTACATCGGGCTGAGGGTTAGGAGCCCCAAACTCTCATCGCTGAACCCAGCGCTTAAAGGGATCTATGAGGGCTACTGTAAGGGATCTATCAGGGTACTATGATATCGGGGCCATACTAGGCCGCCCAGTGGGCCATTTTTTTCCCTTCTTGCAGTCCTAGGTTGCTGATACAGTTACACAAGACCAAAAAGGGAGCCATTTTTGTTCCTAGGTTACCGGGCATCCTAGCATAGGATTCAGCGTAGGCTTGCAGTCGCACGTGCCCTGAATCTGCACCGCTACCTTTTTCGCGGCGCTGTGCTTACAGTCCTCAGGGCATGGGCCTCCGGGGACCGGGAGGTTTGACATTAAAGGGTTCCTGAACGGGCTCTATAGGGATCTATAAAGGATCCTTAAAGGGTTCTATTCTAGAGGGGTTTAGGGTCTACTGGCTTCCTGGAAGTTTGACAACGAATATAGGAACCTGATTAAGACAGCCTGGGTCCTTATTAGGGTTCCTTAAACGAACCCTACTATTTTTGGGTTATAGTTGGAGGGTTGGTCTAGGGTTCAGGGTTCCCTGGACGCAAGGTTATAAGGGCAATGAGGGTGTTGAGTGTCAAAGGGGTTGTGGTCCGTACTGTGCCCAAACTTTTCTGCACTGATTGTTTCTACGAAGTCTTGAACCAGATTCGTAGTCTAGCCAAGCCCCAGCACCTGGAGCTGCAAGAAGCGAGAGAGCCTCAAGTGAGTGAGCTTCAACTTCAGCCGCGTTCATGCAACTAAACACTAAGCCCATACCACAAGTGATGCGTGGAAGTTAGAGCGTGAGGCTTACAGACGGTTTACTCTCTGTGAGCCAGAAGTTTTGGGTATGTGATAATCCCAGAGACAGAGGCAGTGTTGTGAGAGTTGCAGCAGCTTTGGCCTCGTTGGTTTAAGGGTCCAAGGGCTCAAGCAGCTAGAAAATGCCTTCAGGCTCTACGAAGCTTTAATGACTTGAGTGCTGAGGTTCAGCAGCAATTCTCCTCCCAGTTTTCCTCTCCCTAAACCCTAAACCCCTTTTGGCTCGTGCAATGTGCTCTCCAAAGACCCAACAGACGAAACTCCTCAAGCCAAAGTCGGGAGTCCGAAAAACTCCTCAACAGATCCTGAGGTCCTAAGCCTTATCCCCTAAGCAAACCTTCGGTTTCGGGTTGAGGGATCGCGAAGCCGGATTTTGGCTTCAGGCTTTAGGGTTCTGCATCACCCGCAAGCAGTAGACCTAGCACTTAACCCGGCAACGAGGCACAGGCCTTCCAAGGAGACGCCGCACAGTCATAGCCAAGCCTGGCACCAGCCAACAGCGTGGCCAGCAAGGACTTAGCAAGGCCGTGCAGCTGCACAACAGGCAGCTGGCGGCAAGAGCCCCCGTAACCCCGGATCCTTTTCCAAAAGGCAGCTACATCAAACCAGGCACAGAGGTGCCAGCTAATTTCGAGTTGCTAGTTGTGATGGCGTTCGTCAATACTGATGCCACCGGCAACAGTATCACCGCTATCACGACGACCACAAGCATGACCATTTCCGCGCCAATGACTGTTGTCGTCATCATCGTCAGCATCATCACCATCATCACCACCATCGTCTTCGCCTTCATCTTCCTCTTCGTCTTCCTCTTCCTCTGCGTCTTCCCCTCTTCCTCTTCATCTTCATCATCACCATCACCATCATCACCATCAACATCATCTCAATCGCCATCGTCGTCGCCTACATCATCACAGTCATCGCCATCTTGATCGCTACTATCAACACGGACGCCAGTAAATCCATCATGGCAACTGTAGCAGTACTATGCCACAAATATCAGTCTTTATCGTTGTCGTTGTTGTTGTGGGCAGTGGCTGTTGCTACTGTTGCTGCTACTGCTGTCGTTGATGATGTCGTTTTTGTTGTTGTCATCGTCGTCGTCGCTGTAGTAGCAATGAACTGTAGAACCAGGCGACTTCGGGGGTTTAGCAGCAGTCGTCGTGGTAGTCGAAGTCGTAGTCGCAGCAGTCACAGTCGTAGGCATAATCGTAGTCGTTGTGGTTCTCGTGTCGTCGTCGAAATCGTAGAGTAGTGGCAGTAGACGTAGCAGAAGTAGCAGAAGTCGTCGTAGTAGTAGTGGTAGTAGTAGTAGTAGTAGTAGTAGTAGTAGTGGTAGTAGTGGTAGTAGTGGTAGTAGTGGTAGTAGTAGTAGTAGTACTAGTAGTGGTAGTAGTAGTAGTACTACTACTACTACTACTACTACTACTACTACTACTACTACTACTACTACTACTACTAGTATTAGTAGCAGTAGCAGTAGCAGTCGCAGTAGCAGTAGGAGTAGTAGTAGAAGTTGTAGTAGTGGTAGCAGTCGTCCTAGTCGTAGTCGTAGTCGTTGTGGTCGAAGTCATAGTCCTAGTCGTAGTAGTAGTAGTAGTAGTAGTAGTAGTAGTAGTAGTAGTAGTAGTAGTAGTAGTCGTGGTAGTAGTAGTAGTAGTAGTAGTAGTAGTAGTAGTAGTAGCAGTAGCAGTAGTAGTAGTAGTAGTAGTAGCAGTAGTAGTAGTAGTAGTAGTAGTAGTAGTAGTTGTAGTCGTAGTCGTAGTAGCAGCAGGAGCACTAGCAGTAGCAGTATCAGTAGCAGCAGCAGCAGCAGTAGCAGTAGCAGTGGCAGTAGCAGTAGCAGTAGCAGTAGCACCAGCAGTAGCAGTAGCTGTAGCTGTAGCTGTAGCATTAGCATTAGCATAAGCATAAGCATTAGCTTTAGCAGTAGCAGTAGCAGTAGCACCAGCAATAGCTGTAGCTGTAGCATTAGCATTAGCGCAGTAGCAGTAGCAGCAGTAGCAGTAGCAGTAGCAGTAGCAGTAGCAGTAGCAGTAGCAGTAGCAGTAGCAGTAGCAGTAGCAGGAGCAGGAGCAGGAGCAGTAGCAGTAGCAGTAGCAGCAGCTGTCGCAGTCGCAGTCGCAGTCGCAGTGGCAGTAGCAGTAGCAGTAGCAGTAGTCGTCGTCGCAGTCGTACAAGCTTTAGCAGCAGCAGCAGCAGCAGCCGGAGTATCAACCAGAGCAGTAGCCGAGCAAGTAAGGTCAGAGAGCAGGATGAGACACGCAAAACAATCCGGCAAGGTTGACGCAGGGAGATCCGAAATGTACTGATTAGTGCCGAAGATGGCTTGCCAGCTGTCTGAAAATCCGTCGGCCCCATGCAGACATTGGACTGGATGCCCTTAACCTTACTACAGGGGCCTTAATAATTACCTATGCTGTTTTCGGGGGTTTCCTTTCTTTCACTATGAATAATGGGCCCCCAAACCATATTCTAGGCATTACGCCCCACCCTACACACTCGCCCGAAGCCTTCTCAACTCTCCCCGGTGCTCCGCTTGAAGACCATTTCAGAAGTTGCAGGCAAGCAAGGCACGCAGAAGAGCTCTAATCTTCGAAGCCCAAAGCACCGAAGAAAGCATCACGTAGTAGGAATTCCAGCATCATCTTTATACCCCGTGACTAAACCCTAAACCCAAAACCCTATACGGATTTTCGGGAGTCAGAGGTTCCGATTGTTCAAAAGCAGACTGCAGAAGTCTGGCATTGGTGTTCTTTCAGGCCTACCTTAACCTACCAAACCCTAAATTTTTGTAGGTTCTGTTATAAACCCGAATATGGAATCTATACGGACCCTACAAATCTGTAGGTTTTGGTAGGTCTAGGTATACACTGGTTACTAGAACATTACATACCCCAAAATCCGGTTAAATTGCTGTGGCCCTCGTAATACTTGGAGGGTCGGTGGACTTAGTAACTGGTTATTTTAAGGACGTATAAGTACTATAACCTAATAAGTCTACTTACTAACTACTTACTAAGTCCCTGAACCCTAAACCCTATACTACCCTTATAGAGCCCTTTACAGGAACCCTTAGACTCCCCTTTAAAGGAGCCCTTACTAAGTCCCCCGACCCCCCAAGTAGGGTATCAAGGGCACCGGTCCGAGAATTTAGAAGCCTGGCGGCTCACCCGTAGCAGATGCCTGCCGCAAGAATGCTGGAGACTTCTCAAAGGTTCAGGTGCTCGAAAGGTGAGGGACGGTTTAGGGTTTAGGGTTGATGAGATAAACCCTGCATTACCCATACTAAGGAATATACCATAATACCCATAGTCTAGGGTCATTGAGGTAATGCTAGATTTATATCATCAACCGTAGTATGTGGGATAATGAAGCTACCTGGAAAGCTCTACGCAAAAAGTGCTAGTGTACAGTTTTTTTCGCTTGGGGGCTTTTTTTAGGGGGGCTGAGAAAGACATGATCATGGATCTTGCGGCAATAACATATGGTCTTGAGGGTTCCGATTTTTGCTGCACCCTGAGATGCGGGAGTGTTTCGAGCTTGCAGTGGAGGTTGTAGGGCTTAGGGTTGAGGAGTAGTCCCACTCTTCTAGGCAATCCGTGTTTGAAGTATAGGGTTTGTCTTCTGTTTCCATTAGTTGCGTATTTGAGTGTCTTTTGGTATCCCAGCATACTAGACACACGCCATACATACCTCGTAGGCTTGTAGCATGATCTAAACCCTAAGCCCTAAGCCCTGTTCCTGTATAAAGCCCCTAACCCTAGAAGTTTGTTGCTTCTGGGCCTCAAGATTTAAGAGATTTGGGTACCCGAAACCCAAACTCTCGTAGGTTTGAGGCATTTGGGTTTGAAGGGCCGAGGGATCTAATTTGGGGGCCTTAATAGTTAGAATAGGGTTTTGTGGCCCATTATACTACTATGATAAGAAGGAATCCGCAAAAAAGTATTGGCAATAATAAAGGCCCGCAGTGCAGATTAACCCTACACCCTTAGATGCCTAAATCCCAAGCTCTCTCTCTTTGAGAAGTAGCCATGGGCAAGCTGATGCTGGCACCTCGCAGCAAAGCTCTGGTCTTTAAGCTTTCAAGCCCCTAAACCCTAAACCCCTAAACCTAAACCCTAAGCCCCTAAACCCCTAAACCCTAAACCTAAACCCTAAACCCTACACCCGAAACCCGAATCCGAAACCCAATTAGGTTCCGAGTCCGAAAGCCTATGCGAGTCCCGAATGCTAAGAGCGAAATCCTACATCCTAAACCCTGTATCGAAAAAGCCCTATAAGCTCTGAACCCTAGAGCCTAGAACCATACCTATAGTCTCCATTGTAGGTCCTTTTTTTGGTTTAACCAACTGTATGTTAAGGATCCTAAAAGGAAACCCCAAAAAGGAACTACAAGGGAGCCTATAGGTAACCCCCAAAGAATCCAGTGCTTGTTCAGAGGATGTTCAGAGAACCTGGTACGTCCGCAGGAACGCAAACCACAAAGGCGAGAATCCCTAGAGAGTTCTCGAAAAATTGGGGTCTTTTTTTGGGTACCCTAAATATCTCTAATGTCTTATTACGGACCCAAGAAGGGACCCTGACTTAGGGCCCCGAAATAGAGGACACGAGTCTTGACTGCCAATAGCAGGACCTTTGCTTCCAGCACCGCTGACCTTATTTCTTCTTAAAGCCCTCCGCATCTCGAACCCTGCGGATGGGAACCCTACAGTAGAAGCCCACCAGTTAAGCCCAACAGCCTCAATCCTGAGGAGTAATGTATAAAGAATCCCAGCACTATTTGGCCCTAATCCGGTTTCCAACTTTTGGGGGTTTACTGTGTTAAGGCCCATGTACTAGTTTAGCAGTGGAGTTCTGGAGTTTGAATTCTTGTCGGATCCTGCTGTGCAGGGTCTACGCAAAGTTCCCCCGGTTGTCTGAAACTACCGCATGGCTTCCTCACTCCCTCACCGACAGGGTTTACGGTTTAGGTTGAGGGCGTAGCGTTTTGGGTTTGGGGTTAATGTAGGAACCTGATTATAAGAAATTTGGGCCTATAAGCCCAAAAAGAGTAGGATTCATAGAAGGAACGTTAATAAAGGCCCATGGTGTCTTAATCAGGTTCCTACATTACTGCAGTTAAAGTTTCGGAATGGGGTCGAGTCCTGCTCCATGAACATGACCCCCCACAATCCCTCATAGAACCTTTAGAGTACAAGTATCCCCTTGAAGGAACCCTTTAAAGGAACCCTACAGGTAGTCTTGCCTGCAAGTGTACCAGTTCAGCTTGCGTGGATAGAGACTTGCGCAGAGCAGTGATCCCGAAAAGAAGTCCGCAGCTCCTGCTGTGACTTAAACTGACGGTTTAAGGGTGTAGGGTTTAGGGTTTCGGGTTCAGGGTTTAGGGTTTGGAGTCTAGGGTTACGCAATACTTCGTAATGATGCGGCTATTGGGTTCGCTGGCTATCTTTGCCGAACGGCACCTTAAACCCTCCGAAACCCTAGGCCTTGGAAACCTTAAACCCCACACCCTAAACTTAGGGGTACTTAGAAATAGTTTTTAAATTTTGGTGATTATAATCCCTAAGAGCCAGCTAAAACTTATAATTTTTGCTAGGGTTCTAAGTTCAGTATAGTAAACTCCGGGCCCTTGACCTGCACTCTCAACGGTTGTGGGTGCAAGGTTGAGGGTTTAGGGTTTACGTTCAGCTCAGGGTGTCCGATATAGGGTTTCGAGTCTCGTTGCACTCCAGATAGGCTCTGAGCAGTCTGTCAGCCTTCATCCCATTAAACCATATGGGTGGTTGTCAAAATCATGGTCCCTGTTTGGGTCCTTATTATAATACGGCACCTATTATTTAGGGCACCCAAGAAGGGACCATAATTTTGCGAACCACCTATATATACAAAACCTTTCTGAACCAACATAGTCAATAGTCCTACTTAAAGGCTCGTAGGACTTAGTAAGTAAGATTATAAGTAGGCTATAATTAGGATAACCCCACTTAGGGGACTTATAACCCAATTATAACCTACTTACTAAGCCCCATGATCCTTCAAGTACATATGCAGTCTACAGCCCTTTTCCCGAAGCCTCCTACGGCCGGTTCAAGAGACGAGAAAAAGCTCCAGCGCCGCGTTTCTTCGCTCGAGCACCATGAACCAGGCCGGTCCACGTGGTTTAGGGTTTAGGGTTTAGGGGTTTAGGGTTTAGGGTTTTAGGGTTGTAGGGTCTTAGGGTTTTAGGGTTTAGGTTTGGGGGGTGTCAGAAGGTTTCGGGTTTAGTTTGACTACAGGGTGGAGGCAAGGCGCCAAGTCTGCTTCGTGCAGCTCTCTTGCGAAATCCATGATGACCTGACCTAATGATGACCGCACCGCCTACATGATGAGAGCAGGACCCTAAAGCAGCACTGCTTTCATGTTTCCCATGTCGAGCAAAGCCTCCCAAATCCTAAATCCTAAATCCTATACCCTGCACGTGACGGAGGTTTGCAACGTCTCGAACGAGGTCAAGGTTGCCCCTGCCCGCTGCCCTGACGCCATGGTTGCAACGATCAGTTTTGAGCATGACTAGAGGCCAGGGTATCAAGCGGTAGAGTTTAGGGTTTAATTGGGGTGGATGGTTTTGGGGTTTTAGGGTTTAGAGATGTGCAGAACACTTCATCCTTCTGCAAAAGCCAGCTTTCGGGACATGTAGCTGATAGGACCCGCACGACCTAGTGTTGTTCTCATATGGCTTGCGAAGGCTCTCGTGTTGTGTTGTTTCGGACTCATCGTTGCTCAGTTCATATGGGGGTTTCCGAAAGTAGGGGACCCTAATATAGCACCCTAAGTAGTAGGATCCTTATTATACGGGCCCAAAAACAAGGTACCGGCACCCCTTAGTTTCGGAACCCTCATAGACCCCCTTAAAGGAGCCCTTCTGAATCCCTTTAAAGGTCCATTTTCGGAAACTCTCATATCGGTTTTCGGCTTCGACCACCCTAAGTATAGTATGTTATAGTATAGTATGTGATAGTATATTACAGTATAGTATAGTACACTGTAGTATCGTAGTTTTAGTATAGTATAGTAGATTATTGTACTAAACCCGAAACCGTAAACCCTGAACCCTTCCCCCGCAAGCGTGGCTGCACATTTTGCCCTCCCCCTTGAACCTGAGCCACGTGGTGTTTCGCTTGTGTGTGGATGCTAGCGGCGGGGCCCCTTTTCTTGCATGAGCCCATGTCAGGGTTCAGAGGTTTACGGTGTACTTGACGGATCATGGGACTTAGTAAGTAGGTTATAATTGGGGTTATAAGTCCCCTAAGTGGGGTTATCCTAATTATAGCCTACTTATAACCTTACTTACTAAGTCCTATGAGCCTTTAAGTAGGGTCCAGGAGATGTCCACTGGTATGTCTTAGAGGGGGCCCCCACCCTGTAATAGTGACTATAAGGATTATATAGGGCCCTATTATATTCCGATTATGCCACTATTACAGGGTGGGGGCCCCTCCTAAGGTATGTCATGTAAGCGATCTTGCTGTACCGTGATGTGACAGGCTGTTTACTTGCCAGTTAAAGCCAAAATCCCACACGCCGAAGCCGTGACAAGAACCCTAGAACCCTCAACCCCGAAACCTTACCCTAAGCCCACAATGCTAAGTTCTGAACTGAGGACGTGAACGATTCAGCCAGTACCGCGGTGGGGGACAGCTTCTCCTCTGCAGACGGTTTGGGGTTATGGGTTGCAAAAGGCTTCAGAGTAGACGAGAAGACCCATAGCCCCTAAACCGTACACCCTGAACCCTGGACCTTTAAATCCTAAACCCTAAAACCCAAATTCCCACCCAGGCTTGCTCAGGCCGTTCCCTTCTGTCTAGTGTACCCGGACGCAACGTGCATACGCCGCCTCACACCCCTCGACGATGCGTTGGGGCGCTTACTGCCGCTGCACGACGAGACGCCCTAAACTTCAGGGCCTGAAATCCTAGATGTTCACGGTTTACAGTTGCAAGTTTGGAGGTTAGGGCTTCAGGATATTTGGATGAATTCTCGGGTCTCGGAGCCAGGAATCGGTTTAGGGTTCACCTAAACAACGGTCCTTTAAGACACTTTTAGGCTTCCTGGCTGAGGAGGGGTTTACTGCTGGTGTAGGGGTTTGATGGGGGTTGGAGTGTAGCGGGTTTCTGAAGGATTTAGTTGAGGTCTCTAGGATTTATCTTGAGCTTGTTGAGTTCCACGATTTTGAGCATTCAGAGCTAGAAGTTGCTCCATGTGGGTATTCTTGGCTAACTGGCCCTGAAAGGAGGTCGGTAGAGTGGTAGGCCCACTCCGAGAAGATTCCCTGAATATGTATTTCAGCAATAACTTGGTCAGAGCAAGAGCCACTGACGGAAACCTACACGTATAAACCACAAATCCTACCGGACATAGCAAATCTAGCAACTTCGAATGTCCCGAAACATTCTCCGATAGCACCGCACTCCTGGCAGTGGTAGAGAGTCGTGAGGCGGAGGTTCTGAGAGACCGGCAGCGCTGCATTCAAAAACGGCTGCCAGCGCACGAGACAAACCTCAGGGGCTTTGACCGCTTCCTGGACGCCAACACAAGACGCGATGTTCTTCACTTGAGGCGGAGAAACGTGCTCTGCGACATCAAGTCCCGTCGGGAGTCGCACAGCAGGAACAGACTCTGCCTGGACCTGCTGAACGTTGACGACATCGGCTTGTACTCAGTGGAGATCCCGCAGCTGCGACTCGAGTGCAGTCAAATGCCGAAGAGACACGTGGCCGTAGTCCATCGTAACCCTGAACCCTAAACCCTAAACCAACTCCTGGACCTTTGAAAATTCAAAAGCCACGGCCTCCGCGAAGCATAGCCCCAAACCCAAGCGCGAAGCATTCCAAACTCTACAGTCGAAGCCCCGAAACCGCAAATGCTGAAGCTTTCAACCCCAGAAAGAGCCCACAACCCTGAAACCCTAAGCCCTGAACCCCGAATCCAAAACCCTACTTGGGGGGCCGGGGGACTTAGTAAGTAGTTAGTAAGTAGACTTATAAGTACCCTAGAAGGGACCCTAATTGGGGTTATGGTGCTTATAAGTCCCTAAAATAACCAGTTACTAAGTCCCCCGACCCTCCAAGTAAGCCCAAGCGGTCTTCCCTAGGTAAGCAGAAGCCCTGAGAGACGGAAAAAAGCTGCTCAACAAAGCCTCTAAGCCCTAAGCCCCAAACCCTCAGCCGAAACGGCCGAAACTGTAAATTCTAATCTCTAAACCCTAAACCCCACACCCTAAATCCCAAAGCCGAAGCGGCCTGAACCCTAAACCCTAAGCTCTAAACCCTGAGAGATCCCCTATAGGACCCTTAAAGGAACCCTCAAAGGAACCTTTAAACGGAACCCTCAAAGGAACTCTTCTAGGAACCCCTTAAAGGAACCCTTAAAGGAACCCTTCAAAGGAGCCCTAAACCCAAAGCCCAAAGCCATGAAGAACAAGGCGACACCGAGAATCTCAGCCCAGCCTCCGGAGACGGACAGGCGGGAAATCTGCATGGATTCTGGGGTTTAGGGTCTAGTGCGTGAAGCTGACCCCAGGATGCAGACCGCTTCGTCCGACGTCAAGGCTGTTTTTGTTCGAGGAAAAAAGATTGGGCGTTGAAGGAGCGCTCTTCTAGCATTCGTTGTGACATTGAGATTCCGAGTTCTTCATTCAATCATTGCGAGGATCTTGGTTATCATTAAGGGTTTATCTCACGTAGGTTATCAGCCGTAGCGGCATTAGTATTGGGGTTGAACTTAGGTGACCCTGAGGGTGTAATTTCTCCGTAGTCTTCGGCCATGGACATCCGGACTCGTCGAAGGAAGTCTGGGATGGCTGAGGAGCAGGATGAAGAGAGCAGAGACCATCACTACCGAACAGCTTTGGGCCAGGCGGAGTCATTAGGTGGCTCCGGCAGGGATACCGGTGGGGCGTCCCTGAATGGCATGGCTCCAGGGGAAGCCAGTCCTGGCATGCTGGAGTCGGGGGAAGCCGGAGGGCAGCAGACAAGTGGATCGCTGCCTACAGCAAACCCCTTTCATTCTGAAAAAGTCCGGACTGAAGTGGAATTGATACGGTCAAGACCGACCTCGCTGGATCAGGATGCTGCCAGACTGGGAATTGAGTCTGGGGATCAAGACTTGGGAGGAATGGATGTTGAACACTTGAAGGAGCCGGATTATTCTGCTGCTTTTGATCCTGCCGAAGCGGTTCGCGTGGCGAGAGTCGGCACGCGGGACCTGGACTCAGGAGCGACTGTCAAGCCGGCCGAAGTGGAGTCATCAGCATCGAAGATTGGAAGAGCCAGCTAGTCCAGGTTTGTCGGCACAAGCGTTTGGGGAAACTTCTGCTGAAAGAGGAGGTGAGTCAGGGGCAGAGGCTCTTGGTTTGGGCGCGGATCCTTCGGGAACACGTGACGAAGTGCCAGAGTTGATTCCGGATGAACCCGATCGTCTGGAAAGGTTTGAGGCACTGTTGTACCACGCTCTTGAAGAGAACCGGCAGCTCAAGCGCCGTCTGGAACAGGCAGAGTCCCGTTCGCATTCGAGCTGGCACTCGGGGCTAGCGCAGCCGGATCCAAGTCTTTCATCGGTCACTTTTGGACCGCGCACCAATGCAGATGTACAGAGGTTTTTGGCCCAGGAATTCCCGAGTCAGCATAACCTAAGTTTGGAAGATAGGAACCTGGGGGTAAGCTGGGATGGAGTCCTTTCCGGGGGTTCGCAATCTTGGGCAAGGCAAAGGGTCGAGGCTTCGTCTTCTGGTTGGGATGTAAGAGATGGTGTAGAAAGTTCAAGGGCGATGATGGCGATGGCTGGTGGTGCTTCAGGGGCCTTGGATAGGGTTCCACCTCCTCCTCTGCCACTTCCTTTGCCCCTACCGGCTCTACCACCTGTTCCGAGGGATGTGCCCGGGGTCCCAGTAACTGAAGTTCCTTCGGGTTCCCCTCAGACTATGAGGCAATTTACGGAAAGGGCAAGGGCAGCTTCTGGGGCTCAGCCTGAGGGTTCAGGGTTTCATACGCCTAGGGCCGTCGTGGGTTCTTCTTCGAGGTTTGACGAACAGGGATACCCTGTTTCCCCGGGCGGAACTGTGATCCGTCCTCCGCCATTGCCGGTGACCACGAGAACGGCTCCAACGACCTCACTTGCCGGTGCGCCCCACGCGGTTGAGGGTGCCGGGTGGCCGGGAGTTCAGGGAGCTGGGTTAGGTGTACCGGTTGCGCCTTCTGCAGGTCTGGGTGCGGTCTTGAGGGGTCCCGAGCAATTGGGGGTTTCAGGCTTCGATGGGGCTAACGGGCCTCGGGGTTCTTTAATTGCGGGAGAGTCTTCGATGAGAGGAGGGTATCCTGGAGATATGGGTTGTTCACAATTGGGGAGGGCTGTTGCGCTTCCTGATGAAGCCTTTGTCGGAATCCCGGGTTTGGGCTCCGGAGTGGGACCTACCGGAATTGGGGCTCCGCTGGGAAGGGGTTCTAGTGTTGAGAGCGTTCGCCCTGAGGAGCCTGCTAGATATATATCGGATTTGCCTAAGCTTAGCCAATCGGATTTAGCTAACTCGGCAGTGGTATGTGGCAACTGGTTGGCGCAAGTGCGTCAGATAATGGTGGGCTTATCGATGAGCGCGTCAGTTTGGTGGCAGGGGGTCGAAGGACCAGCCACCGCGGCGTACCGTAGGTGGCTAGTAGCCGATCCCTTAGGCCGTCTTGCTGTAGACCCATCTACGGTGGTAGGAGAGTTTGATCGTCAGCTGTATGGGCGAGTGGAGAGCCGGTCGGTTAGCTTATTGTTGGCGGCGGTTCCTCAGAGCATTCGGGATGACGTGGTTACGAATAGGTGGCTATCTAGCGCAGCTATTTTATTCAGGGTTCTCTGCCTGTTTCAACCTGGCGGGTCGAGTGAACGATCACATTTGCTGTCCCAGCTGGTGAGTCCGGCTGTTTGCAAGACGTTTGGCGAAGCCATTAAGGGATTACGCACTTGGCAGCAAGGGTTGCAAAGAGCGGGGGAAATACATGCCACTTTACCGGACCCATCGTTGCTTCTTAGAGGGGTTGATAGTGCTACGTCGTCTTTGCTAGGGACTCACCCGATGATAGGGTTCAGAGTGAATGCCTTTAGACATCAGCTTGCCATCGATCATAACCCTACAGTCGCCACCGTTGTGCAACTTGTGAGACTTATTCAAGCGGAGTGTGAATCGGCGTCGATAACTCTAGATGGAGGGGTCGATAAGCGGGCTAAGGCTGCAGCTCTGGCAGCTGCTAAAGAACAGGCAGCTGGTAAGGCACCCTCAGCGCCCCCTCCACCACCTCCTAATCCCCAGGTTTCGGCGGTAGGGGTAGGTCAGGGGGAGTCTTCTGACAAAGGCAAAGGCAAGGGGAAGGCTTCTGAGGTGGCACTGTGTCATAAGTTCGGGGATGCTTCGGGGTGTAGATTCGGAGATAGCTGCCGGTTTAAGCATGATCGAGCGAAGGCTCGAAAAGAGAATCGCTGTCTGGCCTGCGGCCAATCAGGCCACTTCAGACCCGACTGTACGCTGGTACCGCCTGAGCACCGCGTAGTGGTGTCGGATGGGGGTTCTGAGGCATCTCCAAAGGCGAATCCAGGTAAGGGGTCTGGTTCTGCTAAGAGTAAGGCTAAGGCCAAAGCGGGGGCTCAGGCGAAAGGAGTGGTGGAGGATTCAACCTCCTCCGCTGAAGCCGGGAGTGCTAGTGTCAGTGCAGCGGCAGCAGGTTCAACTACCTTAACCCCTGATGCCCTGGTGGCGGAGGCCACGAAGCTACTCAAAGGAGTTTCGTTAAGGGCTCTTAGAGTTGAACCTGAGGCCAGTCTCAACCTCTCGTGGCTTCGCAGTGCGTTGGTTTCGGCGTCTGACCCTGAGTATTGCCTGATAGACAGTGGAGCGACTAATGCCCTACGCCCGGCGGCGTCAGGAGAGGCAGAAGGTTGCCGGTCCATTAAGGTAGATCTCGCGTCGGGAGGTACGGAGTTGCTTATTAACCCTTGTGGGACTCTTCTTCATAATGGGGATTGCCAAGTTATCTTGCCAGCGAGCTATTTGGTAGATCTGGGGTACACCATTAATTGGCGTAAAGGAGGCTGCAAGGTGAAGCATCGGCGCCTGGGAGCGTTGAATGTAACGGTAGTTAAGGGCTGTCCGTTGATTCCGAGGTCTGTGGGGCTTCAGTTGCTAGAGGAGTATGAGGCTAAACGCAGAGGGGATCCATTGGTGAGTAAGGCTGAGGCTATGGACTTGGTTGAAGGGATTGAGCCTGGCCAGGCTAAGAAGTGGCTGAAGGAAAGGGTTGAGGCTCGTGGTGAGGCTGGGCTGACGGAGGTTGATCAGCTTGTGTTTCTGAGAGCTCTTTTTCCTGAAATAGCTGTGGGGCTGTTGGCCAGAGCGTGCGTTCCTGCTTTGGATTCTGAGCGGACTGATTGGTCTGAGCTCCCTTGGAATCGCCGTCTGAGGCGGTCAGTCTTTAGAGCTGAAGCTGGCTCAGTGATGGTTGCGGTATCGCCGTTTTCATCTTCCTGGAAGGGTCTGGGTCGGGTGGTATCGGTGGCTAACTCGGATAAGGGTCTAGGTTCCAGACTGGTGTTTAGCCTGTTGATGAAGTGGGCGTGTAGCGGGGTTATAGGGGGTCTGGTGAAGGGGCCCCGCGAGCCGGAGGTGTCCCAAGGAGTTCAGGAGGAAAGTGAGGTTGAAGAGGTGATAAGGGTTATGAGGTTGATGTTGGTGTTTGCTGTAGCGAATGCAGCTGGGGAACGCCGATATGAGCGGGCAAGCCTGGGCGAAGGGGATGTTCTCAATCGCCATAGGGTGTTTTTTGCGGCGGACCACGACCTGTTATCTTCGACCTTACAATCCGTGGGATCGGGCTTGAGTGATACCCTTTTTGCTACATGTTACCCTCTAGAAAGGGCCATCTTCGATCAGGGTTGCTTGGGAATGCTAGGGGTCCGTGAGACTTCTGTTATTACGAGCTCGTGGTTTCTGTATGAGATGTTGCACAAGCTAAAGGTGGATCAGCGCTTGCGTTCGGTATTAGGCAATGTTGAAAGGGCTGAAGGGCCACGGAACCAGTGTTGGGGAAGTGGTTTAGCTAACTTGATTCAACGGGCTTGGCTTCTTTGGAAATGGGAGCGTGTGAATGAACAAGAAGTGGGTAGGAGGCAGGCCATCCTGAGGAAATTGTCTGAGGAGGAGTCTTATGCTCTCCATGTTCAACGGGACCATGTTCCTTATCGACGGGGTTGTCCTATTTGCATCAGCGCGCAAGGGCGTCAGAGGTCGCATTGGAGGTCTGGGTTTCCCGGAGTTCATTCTCTAAGTGTGGATCTGGCAGGGCCGTTGATTTCGGGACGAGGTTGGGACGTCGAGGCTAGTGGTCGGGACAAAGGGGAGGGTTATAAGTACTTCCTTGCTTGCGCCTACGCAATTCCGGACGGGTTTATTCCCGAACCTTCGGAGGAAAAAGAAAGTGTACCTGTAGCGG